AGCTTCTCGGAGCTTTGACTAAGTTTTATAGCTTCTCCGAGCCTTGGCTGAGTTTTATAGCTTCTCGGGGCTTCGGCTAAGTTGTATAGCTTTTCGAAGCTTTGGCTAAGTTTTGTAGCTTCTTGGGGCTTTGGCTAAGTTCTATAGCTTCTCGGGGCCTTGATTAAGGTTTATAGCTTTTCAGAGCTTTGGCTAAATTTTATAGCTTCTCTGAGCTTTGGCTAAGGTTTATCGCTTTTCAGAGCTTTGGCTAAATTTAATAGCTTCACTGAGCTTTGGCTAAGTTTTATAGTTTCTCCGGGCTTTGGCTAAGTTTGATAGCGTCTCGTTGCTTTGGCTAAGTTTCATAGCTTCTCTGAGCTTTGGCTAAGTTTTGTAGCTTCTCGGCGCTTTGGCTAAGTTTGATAGCTTTTCGTTGCTTTGGCCAAGGTTTATAGCTTCTCGGAGCTTTGGGTAAGTTTTATAGCTTCTCGGAGCTTTGGCTAAGTTTTGTATCTTCTCGGAGCTTTGGCTAAGAATTATAGCTTCTCCGAGCTTTGACTGAGTTTTATAGCTTCTCGGGGCTTTGGCTAAGTTTTATAGCTTCTCGGCGCTTTGGCTAAGTTTGATAGCTTCTCGTTGCCTTGGCTAAGTTTTATAGCTTCTCGGAGCTTTGGCTAAGTTTTGTAGCTTCTCGGAGCTTTGGCTAAGTTTTATAGCCTCTCGGAGCTTTGACTAAGTTTTATAGCTTCTCGTTGCTTTGGCTAAGTTTCATAGCTTCTCCGAGCTTTGGCTAAGTTTTGTAGCTTCTCGGCGCTTTGGCTAAGGTTGATAGCTTCTCCGGGCTTTGGCTAAGTTTTATAGCTTCTCGGAGCGCTGGCTAAGTTTTGTAGCTTCTCGGCGCTTTGGCTAAGTTTGATAGCTTTTCGGAGCTTTGGCTAAGTTTTGTAGCTTCTCGGAGCTTTGGCTAAGTTTTGTAGCTTCTCGGAGCTTTGGCTAAGTTTTATAGCTTCTCGGAGCTTTGCCTAAGTTTGATAGCTTCTCGGAGGTTTGGCTAAATTTTATAGCTTCTCGGAGCTTTGGCTAAGTTTTATAGCTTCTCGGAGCTTTGGCTAAGTTTGATAGCTTCTCGGCGCTTCGGCTAAGTTTGATAGCTTTTCGGAGCTTTGGCTAAGTTTTGTAGCTTCTCGGAGCTTTGGCTAAGTTTTGTAGCTTCTCGGAGCTTTGGCTAAGTTTTATAGCTTCTTGGAGCTTTGGCTAAGCTTGATAGCTTCTCGGAGGTTTGGCTAAATTTTATAGCTTCTCGGAGCTTTGGCTAAGTTTGATAGCTTCTCGGAGCTTTGGCTAAGTTTTATAGCTTCTCGGAGCTTTGGCTAAATTTTTTAGCTTCTCGGGGCTTTAGCTTCTCGGAGCTTTGGCTAAGTTTTGTAGCTTCTCGGAGCTTTGGCTAAGTTTTATAGCTTCTTGGAGTTTTGGCTAAGCTTTATAGCTTCTCGGGGCTTTGGCTAAGTTTTATAGCTTCTCAGAGCTTTGGCTAAGTTTTATAGCTTCTCGGAGCTTTGGCTAAGTTTTATAGCTTCTCGGGGTTTGGGCTAAGTTTTATAGCTTCTCAGAGCTTTGGCTAAGTTTGATAGCTTCTCGGAGCTTTGGCTAAGTTTTATAGCTTCTCGGAGCTTTGGCTAAGTTTTATAGCTTCTAGGGGCTTTGGCTAAGTTTTATAGCTTCTCGGGGCTTTGGCTAAGTTTTATAGCTTCTCAGAGCTTTGGCTAAGTTTTATAGCTTCTCGGGGCTTTGGCTAAGTTTTATAGATTCTCGGGGTTTGGGCTAAGTTTGATAGCTTCTCGGAGCTTTGGCTAAGTTTTATAGCTTCTCGGAGCTTTGGCTAAGTTTTATAGCTTCTCGGGGCTTTGGCTAAGTTTTATAGCTTATCGGAGGTTTGGCGAAGTTTTATAGCTTCTCGGAGCTTTGGCTAAGTTTTATAGCTTCTTGGGGGTTTTGGCTAAGTTTGATAGCTTCTCGGAGCTTTGGCTAAGTTTTATAGCTTCTCGGAGCTTTGGCTACGTTTTATAGCTTCTCGGGGCTTTGGCTAAGTTTTATACCTTCTTGGAGCTTTGGCTATGTTTTATAGCTTCTCGGGGCTTTGGCTAAGTTTTATAGCTTCTCAGAGCTTTGGTTAAGTTTTATAGCTTCTCGGAGCTTTGGCTAAGTTTTATAGCTTCTCGGGGTTTGGGCTAAGTTTTATAGCTTCTCGGAGCTTTGGCTAAGTTTTATAGCTTCTCGGGGCTTTGGCTAAGTTTTATAGCTTCTCAGAGCTTTGGTTAAGTTTTATAGCTTCTCGGAGCTTTGGCTAAGTTTTATAGCTTCTCGGGGTTTGGGCTAAGTTTTATAGCTTCTCGGAGCTTTGGCTAAGTTTTGTAGCTTCTCGGAGCTTTGGCTAAGTTTTATAGCTTCTCGGGGCTTTGGCTAAGTTTTATAGCTTCTCGCAGGTTGGCGAAGTTTTATAGCTTCTCGGAGCTTTGGCTAAGTTTTATAGCTTCTCGGGGTTTTGGCTAAGTTTGATAGCTTCTCGGAGCTTTGGCTAAGTTTTATAGCTTCTCGGAGCTTTGGCTAAGTTTTATAGCTTCTCGGGGCTTTGGCTAAGTTTTATACCTTCTTGGAGCTTTGGCTACGTTTTATAGCTTCTCGGGGCTTTGGCTAAGTTTTATACCTTCTTGGAGCTTTGGCTATGTTTTATAGCTTCTCGGGGCTTTGGCTAAGTTTTATAGCTTCTCAGAGCTTTGGTTAAGTTTTATAGCTTCTCGGAGCTTTGGCTAAGTTTTATAGCTTCTCGGGGTTTGGGCTAAGTTTTATAGCTTCTCGGAGCTTTGGCTACGTTTTATAGCTTCTCGGAGCTTTGGCTAAGTTTTATAGCTTCTCGGGGCTTTGGCTAAGTTTTATAGCTTCTCGCAGGTTGGCGAAGTTTTATGGCTTCTCGGAGCTTTGGCTAAGTTTTATAGCTTCTCGGGGTTTTGGCTAAGTTTGATAGCTTCTCGGAGCTTTGGCTAAGTTTTATAGCTTCTCGGAGCTTTGGCTAAGTTTTATAGCTTCTCGGGGCTTTGGCTAAGTTTTATACCTTCTTGGAGCTTTGGCTAAGTTTTATAGCTTCTCGGGGCTTTGGCTAAGTTTTATAGCTTTTCGGAGCCTTGGCTAAGTTTTATAGCTTCCCAGAGCTTTGGCTAAGTTTTATAGCTTCTCGGAGCTTTGACTAAGTTTTATAGCTTCTCCGAGCCTTGGCTGAGTTTTATAGCTTCTCGGGGCTTCGGCTAAGTTGTATAGCTTTTCGAAGCTTTGGCTAAGTTTTGTAGCTTCTTGGGGCTTTGGCTAAGTTCTATAGCTTCTCGGGGCCTTGATTAAGGTTTATAGCTTTTCAGAGCTTTGGCTAAATTTTATAGCTTCTCTGAGCTTTGGCTAAGGTTTATCGCTTTTCAGAGCTTTGGCTAAATTTAATAGCTTCACTGAGCTTTGGCTAAGTTTTATAGTTTCTCCGGGCTTTGGCTAAGTTTGATAGCGTCTCGTTGCTTTGGCTAAGTTTCATAGCTTCTCTGAGCTTTGGCTAAGTTTTGTAGCTTCTCGGCGCTTTGGCTAAGTTTGATAGCTTTTCGTTGCTTTGGCCAAGGTTTATAGCTTCTCGGAGCTTTGGGTAAGTTTTATAGCTTCTCGGAGCTTTGGCTAAGTTTTGTATCTTCTCGGAGCTTTGGCTAAGAATTATAGCTTCTCCGAGCTTTGACTGAGTTTTATAGCTTCTCGGGGCTTTGGCTAAGTTTTATAGCTTCTCGGCGCTTTGGCTAAGTTTGATAGCTTCTCGTTGCCTTGGCTAAGTTTTATAGCTTCTCGGAGCTTTGGCTAAGTTTTGTAGCTTCTCGGAGCTTTGGCTAAGTTTTATAGCCTCTCGGAGCTTTGACTAAGTTTTATAGCTTCTCGTTGCTTTGGCTAAGTTTCATAGCTTCTCCGAGCTTTGGCTAAGTTTTGTAGCTTCTCGGCGCTTTGGCTAAGGTTGATAGCTTCTCCGGGCTTTGGCTAAGTTTTATAGCTTCTCGGAGCGCTGGCTAAGTTTTGTAGCTTCTCGGCGCTTTGGCTAAGTTTGATAGCTTTTCGGAGCTTTGGCTAAGTTTTGTAGCTTCTCGGAGCTTTGGCTAAGTTTTGTAGCTTCTCGGAGCTTTGGCTAAGTTTTATAGCTTCTCGGAGCTTTGCCTAAGTTTGATAGCTTCTCGGAGGTTTGGCTAAATTTTATAGCTTCTCGGAGCTTTGGCTAAGTTTTATAGCTTCTCGGAGCTTTGGCTAAGTTTGATAGCTTCTCGGCGCTTCGGCTAAGTTTGATAGCTTTTCGGAGCTTTGGCTAAGTTTTGTAGCTTCTCGGAGCTTTGGCTAAGTTTTGTAGCTTCTCGGAGCTTTGGCTAAGTTTTATAGCTTCTTGGAGCTTTGGCTAAGCTTGATAGCTTCTCGGAGGTTTGGCTAAATTTTATAGCTTCTCGGAGCTTTGGCTAAGTTTGATAGCTTCTCGGAGCTTTGGCTAAGTTTTATAGCTTCTCGGAGCTTTGGCTAAATTTTTTAGCTTCTCGGGGCTTTAGCTAAGTTTTATAGCTTCTCGGAGCTTTGGCTTCACGGTGCTGTGGCTAAGTTTGGTAGCCTCTGTTAGTTTGCGCTAAGTTGGACAGCTTCCAGGCCATTTGGCTGAGTCTTATGTATTCTTGGACCCTTGAATTTGTTGGAATCCGCCCAGAGATTGACGATTGGGAAGTGTTTTTTGGGGGGGGGGGGGGGGGGGCATTATTTCCGGATCAGTTCGGATCCTTTTTCCCCTTAGCTGAGGGCGCACCTATGTGACCATTCTCTGCCAGTGAACATGTACAAGTGAATGTGTGCTGCTCGTTTGCATGTGCATGTTCACGAGGCTGTGCTGTACTGTGCATGCGCGTGTGTGTGTGTGCGTGCGTGCGTGTGTGCGTGTGCGTGTGTGTGTGTGTGTCCGTTTTGTGTATCAGGATGCCCTGTGCCGTACTCCGTCATGTTCGGCGGAACGGACATCAACCATGATGCGGACGACGCGGAGCGGCGTGGCCTGATGACGCCAGTCATTGAGCAAGCAAGGTATGGACCACCCTACACCCTATATACATGTAGATCGCCTGCACTGTGTCCATGCTCGGCCTGTGCAGGTTACGTCCGGGGTAGGGTCCAGTGGCCTTGCACAAGGGAACCCTGGATGCAGCGTATGTAATTTCGGTCTTTGACCGTTTGGCGGTGGGTATAATCTATTCACCTCCCGCCGATTTAGGAGCTGCATCTGCGCCTTTGATCCCGGAGTGTGATGGCGTTCCTGCAGATGCTGAAAGCTGAGTCTAACCGAGGACTACAGTCCATTTCAAAACTATAGACGCGTAGGGTTTTTGAAATATTTCAAATTTGGCCGGAACGCTTTGAGAATAGTTTTCGGAATATTGCTCAGGACCGCTCCACAATTACTCTCATATAGTTTCTAAACGATTGGATAACAGACGCCCAATTTGGAAAAAATTATGCACAAAGTGATCACAGATTTTATGTGGTATAGATGCTGGCATAACGGTTTTTGCCTAGGTACGCGTCTATAGTTTTGAAATGGACTGTAGTATAGCGTGAACCGTGGATGTTTCTTTAGGATCCAGTGCTGTGCGTAGACCGGCTCTTGTGGCCTTGTCCGTTGTTGTTGTACAACCCTGTGTTGTGGTCCGGCGTATGCAGTCAAAGCTATGCGCGACCGCGGACCTGTGCCAGGAAGCGAACACCGTCGTGTAAACTTCACACATGGTCTCGTTAGCAGACCACGCATTGCCTTTGGTGGCCATGATCCTCACCTGTAAACCAGTGCATGTTTCCACGAAATAGCCAGCTTCCTTTGCACTGGCGTGACTAATCTTCTGCTCATAAAATAATATGTTGTGCGTACGAGTGGAATTGGAGGCGAAATTTACAGACGTTTCAAGTAAAACGGAGTGTCTTCTTTTATTGACAGTGTCTGTTGTACTGTTGAAGGGGTCCTTGCCAGTATCGTAGCGCCGTGGACTCGTGTTGGTCCTCATTGGTGTTCTTGTACGTGTGGTATCGGCATTTGAGTCATATTGGTAATGTCATCCAACTGTAGAGCGCTCCACGAGAGGGGTTTGAACGTGATTAGGCCAGCACTGTGCATAAATCCAATTTGTGCGTATGATAGCAAACGACATTCCAGCGGTGTCCCCGGGCCCATTGTTGGATACCAGCTCCTTGTCCATCTGGGTTGCTATTGGCAACATCCACTCTCCCCCAATTTGATGCCTGTGGCGATGTATCAAGCGTATGATGCGCTCTCTACTACCCACTAGCACAGAATGTAGCTGGTGTATGTTGTGTTGCTATGGATACTAATGAGTTGTCATGGCTCCACCGTGTACACATGTACTCTGACCGTGGCACGCTACCGATGCCATTCTGGTGGACGTACAACTTTGAATGCATCCTGTCAGTGTTTGCCACATGAGCACTGAACCAATGCAAGGCGGTTCACTCTGTGCAACAGAATTAGGCTAGGCAATAGAGTGTTGCTATGAATGGTACTTTGTCACCTTGACAACCAGCCGGTGCCGTTCCAATGAAAACACGTCGTTGACTTTCTTGTTTCAGTGCCTATGGGTGTTGTGTGGTTGTTTCTGTGTGTGTTCTGGGTTAGTATGTTGTGTGTTTGTGTGGAAGAGGTAGTAGAGACACTGTAGTTTGAATTTGTAGAAAGGAAAAGAGCGTGGGAGGTGAAAGTTATCGCTTCTCGGCCTTTTGGCTAAGATCAAGTGTGTGAAGCATGGATCCAAGCTGGTGGCAGAGTTTTTCTGTTCCAAGTGCGGAGAAGTGTTTTCCTGCTTCAAGCAGGGCCATTCCTGTGATAAGGAGGCTGTGGGGGTGGCGGCTGACACACCCGTGGAGGAGAGTTCGATTGTTTGTCCTGTCTGCGACAAGGAGTTCGCGACAGTGCGAGGAAGGGCGCAACACCAACGTAGCGCGCATCGCGAGGGAGCTCTGGTCCCATCCCTTGAGAGAGGGGTGGGTCGGGGTTCTCAGTGGTCGGAGGAGGATCGCAAGACCTTCTTTGACGCTATCGGGGTGCACGGCTGCAGGTGTGCAACTGAAATCGCACTGGTAACGGGCTTCGAATCCAGACGGGTTCGTAACTTTTGGGACACTACCTACAAGAGGGCGACGAGGGCAGGGTTGGGCGACTTTGCACCCGAACACCACGAGGCGGTGCACACACTTCTTGAGCTACGCGACAGAAGTGCGAACATGTCCTACGAATGTCGGGCTTGCGGTCACGCCTGTGGGTCTGCCAAAGGCCTGGGCGCCCATTTGACACGCTCATGTGCGGAAACTTTTCGCGAGGCAGTGTTGGGAGTCCGGGGTGAGGTGGCCCAGAGACGTGGCCCGAACAATGTAACAGACAATGATGATCTGTCACAATTTGAGGGCGATCATGGATGCTTGAGTCTTGGAGAGTCCGTGACCTCTGACTCCTCTGGTTCTTGGCTGAACGGGGGTTATGTCCGTGATGATACCAACTCTTGCGAGCCTCTGGCTGTCGACGGGGAAGTGGTCGAAGAGTCCGCCACCTGCACTCGCTCACTAGCTGAGCTTGTGGAAGGTGCGGATGCCCACCTCGTACCAACTCCCCCCGACATGTCAGATCTTGCTGCACTACAGCGCAGCATTGCGGAAGTGGCTGGGGCACTTGGCAGTCCACCAGGAGGCCCTTCGACATTGGGCGAGTTCTCTGCAGACTCTAGCGTGGGTGATTCCAGGCTGGGGGAAGACAGCGAGCAACTCAGCCCGTCGGAGTGGCCAAGCGGTGTGTCTTTCAATCCAGTGCTGGTGGATAGTCCCTCGACGGTAGGCGAGGCTTCGACAAACCTAAGCGTGGGTGATTCCAGGCTTCAGGCGAGCGGGGAGCCTCCCTTCATTCCATCGGGTTGGGCAATTGAGTCCAGTGGCGCGTCTGGTCCCCCGACAGAAAGGGAACCTCCGACGAACCCCAACACGGGTGATTCCGTGCTGGAGGGGAGGGGAGTCCCGCCGGGGCGGCCTACCGTTGACACGGACAATACATTGTCATCGGACGACTCCATCGACACCGGGGCCTCTGCATCAGGGCAACAGGGTGACACCGACCGCCCAGATGTATCTCAACCGGGCCCATCCCGACGGGCGCCTGCCATTCGACTCATCAAGTCGGACCTTGACGAGGATGTTATCAAACGAATTGATTCCGTCTCGGCCGATACCATAAGACCTTTCTTGGGCAAGACCCTCGAGGGTGAACAATGGGATGAGTTTGAAGCGGCCTATACCTTGTTCATTGACCGCCTGACGCCCATCTGTCAGGCGGCCGTTAGCAAGCGTACAGGTCGAACGGTGGGGGCGCGATCGGCTCGGGACTGGAAGAGACGCCGAGATAGGAGAAGAGGGAATGCTCCTGGGGCTGCCGATCTCCCTGCGGGGAACGGTGCAAACCATGGTGGGGCTCGGCGCGCTGGCACAGGTCGGGGGCAACCGCCCCCGGCCCAGGCCCAGCGCGACGGTGACCTTAAACGGCTGTTCAACATCGATCGCCGGAAAGCCATGGACAAAGTGTTCGGAGAGGGGGGCGGCTCACGCTGCACCATCAACACCGACACATTGCACCAATTCTTCACAGCGGAGTCGGCAACCACAGCCCTGGGCTCGGAGAGACCTGCATGGCTCGACGAGGTCCTGCCCCCTCCGTCAGACTCCGACAACATCGGGGCACAGGGTGACGGCGGTGATGCGCCCGACCCCGCAGCGCCAATGGAGCTGACGCCTATCACGGCGAAAGAGGTGTGTCATCAGCTACAGAGGGCAAAGGCAAACTCGGCTCCTGGCCCGGATGGCCTGACCTACGGTTCCTGGAAGGTCCTCGATCCTGAAGGGGTACTGTTGACAGGGCTATTTGAGACATGTCGCCTGAGTCGCAGGATTCCTGCGGCTTGGAAGGACAGTGTGGTGATCCTGCTGCACAAGAAAGGTCGACCAGAGGACAATCCTCGCAGTTGGAGACCGATCAACCTGCAGCAGGCGATCTACAAGGCCTACGCCGCGGTTCTTGCCAAGCGGCTGATGGATTGGGGCATGGACGAAGGGAAGCTGTCCCAGTCGCAGAAGGGCTTCCTCCCTTTCGAGGGCTGCCACGAGCACAACTTTCTCCTCCGGAGTATGTTCGAGACCAGCCGTCGGAAGAAGGATAAGCTGTACTGCTTCTGGTTTGACCTGCGGAACGCGTTCGGCTCCGTCCCGCACGACCTCCTATTCTTCATGCTGGAGCGCCTTGGCGTATCCGCCGACATGAGGGATATCGTGCGGGATATCTACTGCGACTCCTCATTTCGAGTGGCGGCCGGTCGGGAGTTCACCTCTCCGATCGATCTCCAGAGGGGTGTCAAGCAGGGATGTCCACTCAGCCCGATCCTCTTCAACTTCTGCCTGGAGGGGCTCCTTCGGGGATTGCACGCGTTGCAAAACGAGTGCAGCTATTCCCTGTCGGAGCAGCTGAAGGTTAACTCGCTCGCGTTTGCGGACGACTTGGGTGTCTTCGCCGACTCTCGGAAAGCGACTGACACGCTTGTCGCGCGTGTGGGGGAATTCCTCGACTGGTCAGGGGTCAGCCCCAATATAGCCAAATGTGGTTCTCTAGCCACTGGCTACATTGCGGGTAAGCGCAAGATCGAAACCCAACCCTTCCTCTTGAGGGGGGAACAGGTGCCGGTCTTGGGCTGGGACGAAAGGTATGCCTACCTTGGCACACCGATCGGCTTTGACTCCAGAGCAGACTTGGACAAACCCGGCGAAAAGTACCGCGACCGCGTACGGTTAATCTGCCAATCAGGTCTAGCAGACTGGCAAAGGTTGGTTGCTCTGAAGCAATTCGCTTTGCCAGTTCTTGACTTCCACCTACGGAACGAACTGGCCTTCGAGACGTGGGGAGAGAACTTGGATCGCTTTACGCGACGCCAGGTTGGCAAAGCTCTCGGCCTTCCGGCCCGGACAGCACTGCCACTCTTCTACACCGATCA